AAAAGCCTGTCACTGACGAGATTTTTTCACTACCCAACTCCCATTAACAATCTTTACGTTTTCTTTTATGGTTATCCTGTCTTAAAGTGACACCGGCAAACCATAATTATGAAACGATCTAATCCGCCCATCAAATCCGGCGCTCACAATCACAAGGCCCCAAGCGTGGGATTCAGACAATGTCTCACAGGAATTTTTAAAGAGTTTGTACTGTGATTTTGTGAGTGTTGTGACAGGAAGTTTCTCCTCAGGCCAAGTTGCAGAGCCTTTGGAAAGAGGGTTTGGGAAGTATTGGTGACTAAGGGAGAAATAATCTAACCAATTGGATTTTGGAGCTGGCCAGGGTATGGCAATGGAAGCCTCGGACAAGAAACATTCAAAGGACCTAATGGTTTTGGGTTTGGAAATGGATTGGGCAGAAGTGTAATTCCATATGTAAATGTTTGAGTCATCAGATGCTGAGATTATGTGCTTGCCATCGGAAGTGAAAGATGCCGAGATTTGGCTTCCACCATTTCGGAGGCCTGTAGAAACAGTTCAAAAGAAAAGAGTGAACATTATGGTTTTTTTTTTTTTTTTTAGGTCTAATCAAGAAAAAAGAAATATGAACTATCACAATATCAAACTTCCATTTTTTTTTTTTTAATTATTTTACGAGAAACTCGCATTGAAGTTCACTATGAGACTTTAGGCACTTATTATGAGATTTATGGACGGTATCCAATAGTAAGAAGTATAACAAAAGAAATTCTTCTGATAATTGTCCAGTAATATATCAATGTGGGACAAACGTAATTTCTAATGCCTATACTCACGGTGTGTATTCTGATGTCATGATAAATGGATTTAGATCAAACTGAACCCACAGTTGTAAACAACAACAGTCCAATAACAAACCGATATGTGAGAAACATAACTTCCAATAGTAATTAAGTGATTACCCTTGTACTTCCCAATCACATTCACTCCATCGATGATTCTGACTTTAGAATCCGCACAAGTGACCAATACTTTGCTTGGGTCTCGTGGTGAAAACTGCAATTACCAAATAAGGAAGGGTCTAGTGGAAACTAAGCAGTAAAAGCAAATTAGAAAGCGAATGAGAAGAACTTTTGTAGTTACCTGAAAGGACATTATTCGTTTGCTGGGTGACTTCTTCTTGCTGGTTATACACACCTGAGCTCCCAACTGGAAATCATTATCTGAAGCAAACACAAACCCATGAAGAGTTACTCGATAGAACCATATTACCGAGCTAATACAAACTTGTATGCGGTATTTGAAGTACCTTAAGAGTTCCTAGTAAATTCAAAAGATTATTTTGGGGTTTTCTATAATTATGACAAAAACACATAAGTGTTCTTGCAGTTTACCTCTATTTCCATTTATTGTCATGACATATATGGAGCCTCGAGCAAATTACTATAAAAAAAGTTCTACTCATAGTGCATCCTTGAAGCATATCAATATCAAATGAGCAATCTAAAACTTCAAACGCCAGTAACAACAAAAGAGATTCTGCCAATATTTATGTATGTAACGAAAAACAGGCCTGTCCAAGAATTTGACAAAACTATACCTGATAAGTCAAAAATGCGGCAGGTCCCATTAATAGAGCCGATCATACCACTCTGCATCACAAGCAAAGGAATTAACAAATTAGGAAGCCTTACATTTTGGAATTTGTAGTGACAACATGTTAATGGAAGTGTAAAAAAAAAAAATATAAAATAAAATTGTCAAACAGACCTGACCATCAGGTCTGTAACAAACAGCAGTTATAATGTCTGTTATTTCTGTCCACCCAACAACTTTGCAATCACCAATCGCCCAAATCCGGACCTTCCCATCAATGGATCCACTGATGAAGCAATCATCGTTCACCGGATTAAATTGTATTGAGGTCACTGTATACAATAACGTATGGTTTTAGGCAAATAGCATACTAATGCTAAAAAACAAATATATTTTTCCAAGATAAACCACAATAAACACACTGAGGTTTGGCTTAATTACAAATGATACCCAATTACCTTCCCAAATTTCAATTGACTTCTTAAGAAAATGCAACTGTCAGTTTCGAGCTGAATTTTTCCAAGGGTACTTGTAGTTTGATAACATATCAGGGTTTTTTATTTTATTTTATTTTTTCTATTGACTTACTAATTTAATTAGTAATTAGTCACTGCTCTTGGTAGCATATGTACCATTCACCAAAATTAGCCATTTTCACAACTTTAAAAATACCGAGTTGCAATGCAGTTGGGTGCATACCGTAATCGCCATGCAGAAACACCTTTAAACAATGATCAACTCCAACCCGCCATAAACGAACGGTTTTATCAACTGACGATGAAAGAAGACACTGCAAGGTAACACAATTAAAAGGTATTATTAGCTCAACCCAAATCTTGAAATTATTATTCATTAATTTATTTTTCTAAATAAAATAGTAAAAAGAAACATATTAATGAGATCCCAAACATACATTATTCCGCGACCACGAAAGATCCAAGATTTCCCCTTCGTGCCCCTCAAACACATGCAGAGGCTTTTCATGAATCCGAAAAACCTTTGGAGGGAAAACAACACATGCTGACTCTCGCATTCTTCTGAAACCACTGCTCTTGGATTTATCGATTGTATCTTTTTCCACAGTGAGAGGTCCTGTTTCTGATAGATTACTTGCCGAAAAATACACACAAGACGGATCTAAATCTGGAATGTCGATATCATCCATATTCAATCTCTCATCCTCCACCACTTGCCAGATTCTGACAATCTTATCTTCACCAGCACTAGCTAAGTACTTGCCATCCAGACTAAATTTCATTGCCACAATTGCCCCTTTGTGGGCCTTGATATCTTGCCCTGTGAAAAGGGCCGAAAATTCTTTCGACCTTCTCTTTCTGTGGCGAACCGTAACCTTTTGTATCCTCGTCTCATAAACTCGCCTAAAATCACCATCTTCTTTCATGTTCATGCCAGCCATGCAAGTCATCGAACGCAATTTTCTCAACCAACTAATTTTCGATTTGTTCTTGATTTCCCTCAGTACAAATTGGTCAACTGAGGGAGAAAATCGAGAGAAATTCTCGAATTGCTCCCTTTCCACAGTTCCATCAACAATACATTCATTTTCACTGTTAAAATTCGAATTCTCATTCCTACACTCCCTCAAATCTAAATCCTCGGTATTCCAATCACTCGATGAAAATTCATCTTCGGGATTTCTTAGTTCGGCGCCACTAGTCTCCATAATTCTGTGACTGTCGCCTATGTCAAGAGGGACATTTTTGGAACATTCACATATATCTGCAGAATTTCCTCTTTCAAAATCACCCAAATCCAGACTCATCAACCGAACAAACTCCCTACGGCGCTCTTTAACACTTTGAGGAGCATGGATCCACACATCATACTCTCTGTTTGTAATAAATGGGAAATCATCACAGAACAAGTCAGGTTCTTCAATAATCTGATCCAGCGCATCAAAATATTGAGATTCTTCACAGTTGCTGCTATTATCCATGATTTTTTTAATTCAACCCATGAACAAGATTAAACCCTCCTGCAACAACAACCAAAAATTAATATTTTAAGACCTAGGCAATGTATGTACTTACCGCTTATCCCTTCATATATAATGATAACATAAAAAATTAAATTAAATAAATAAATAAAGAGAATGCATTTGAAGTAAAGGGAAATGACTAACAAACTAAAAAATAACACCATTGCCAAGGAGGTTTGAGCATATCCACAACTAAACAAATGGAACCTAATTCCAGCAAAAACATAATATATTCATATATATGCATTATAATATATATAAAAAGTTACACACAAAACAATTACAGATGATAACTTAGAAGTATCCAGTAGATCCGAATCCACACATTGAGCCTGCTGGCCCACATATATCTCCTATCTATGAAAAAAGAGGCAAATTTGTCTACGTTTTTCTCATATTATACCATTGAAAACATAAACCCAGGCTTTCCACACATTTTAACTTTTTTTAAAAAAAAAAAGAAAAGAGAGGAAAAATAAAAGTTCTGAAGGAAAAAAGCATGAGAAAATAAACTAAAATGAAAATTCTTCACCACAATGGATGTTAATCACTCTGGATACAATATCAAATGAAATTTCAGGCTAAACTAAAAATAATTTTAAACAAAAAAAAGATAAAAAAAGAAAAACATCAATTGGCATTCGTGTAGAAGACATTTATTTACACCCAGAAAAAGACCAAAAAAAAAAAGTTTTATGAAAGAGTGGAGAGAGGGAAGTATGCTCACTTGGGATGGACTCAGTTGTCCAATTGAAGCAAGATTAAGCGACATCATCAACTGAAATCTGAAGGAAGAATGAGAGGAGTGATTATTTATTTAAAGCAAATTGGAAAGTGAGGACTAAATGGTTATTAACGGAAAGTAAATGGATTTAAATGCAAAGGTTGTAGAGATTAGTAAAATGGCAGAGTAGATCGGAATCCCTTTGATATCCGAGAAAATAAAATTTATTAAAAAAAAAAACAGGCGACCTACCCTTTGCCTTTTGCCAAAGGGTACTGTACAGGCGACCGAGAAAATAAAATTTAAGCTGTGCGTATGTGCCCGCGCGCGTACTAAATAGGCAACCGACCCTTTGCCTTTGCCATTGCCAAGTCACACAAATCTTTTTTCTTTTTCTTTTTTTAAATAAAACAGAAAAGTTGCTCCCATTTTCACGACAAAGTGAAATTATTGCGTTGAGTATTTTTTATAGTTTAAGTGTTATTTTCTTCTCTTTTGTTGGTGGAAAGATTGTTTGTTTATGCACTATGTATTTAATAATCAATTTTCTCCTCATAATTTTTTTATGCAGCTGGTTCCTATTAATCTGTACTCTAATTTTTTAAGTCCTTAGAACTTGAGATTACGTACGACTTCTTCATTTGCGATTTGTATTATATTTGATTATTTATGCCTTGGAATATAGGGTTTCCTCTGATTAGGCGTGACTTTCGTGTTTTGGATTTGTTTCTATATGATTACCCTTTCCTAAAAAACTCTCTTTCTTCATATGTTTCTTTGTTCACATTGAAGTACTTTCTCTAGGGCATAATGCATTTATCTTACAAGTATATCTTTATTGAGATTAATTACCCATTCCTAAGAGTGTGGGGGCTACATCCACCTTCTTTGATTGAAATATTTAAAAATATTAAAATGTAGGACTGTAAATTAGAGGGGATTCTTTCATTTAATCTCACTTATTATGAGATATGGGGCTTCTATTGCGACGTGACGCGCAGTTGAGTACTTTTGTAAAATTATCGAAAAACAAATTAAGCATTTAAAGTTGCATTTCAATTTGAAATATGAATACTCATTTTTCTTTTAAAATTTATATCAAGAATATTTTGCTACTATTAATAATATTTCTAGTGATACTTATGACACTTGTATTATTGAGCAGTTTCAGTTTATATATTTGGTTTATACATGCACTAGCGGAAATTAGTTTCTCCCTCCTGACCGATTCCTTAACGTAGCAGAAAAGTGATGGGATAATAACTGCGTACCCTAATAGGAGGAGAGAGGACTAATTTATATAGGGGGTGCTTTAGATCTGGTACGTCCATCAAATATCCAGATTAATGGCTTAGATTTGTTTGACTATTAAATAAAGGCCTAGCCCAATAGGATAATTAATTATGAGCCCAATGCTTTCGGGCCACATATATTCTTACATTCTCCCACTTGGTCCGAAAGCTCTTAATTTAATAGTATAACATTAGGTGCGCATAAACAAATCTCATTATGCCATACATCATAATAAACTATGACATGATAAACCATATAGTGAGAGTTATGGCGGTTGTACACTCTCGATTCGCATACTTCCTTCCATATACTACTACACTAACAGTTTAACACACCAAGTTTCATAATTATATATAAATATCATAATGTCCACTTAATTGTCATTAAGACATTCATTTCTTGTTCTAAACATAATGTATACAAAATCATAATGAACAAGAAATTTCGATAATTGTCAGAAACATAACATCAATGAGCTCAAGAGTGTGCCATAACATCATCATAATCAATCATCAATACAACCAAGACCCATTCTATGTACATGTTCTTTAAATGTCTTTGGTTGTAGACCTTTAGTTAACGGATCGGCAATCATAAGGTCCGTTCTTATATGTTCAATGCACACTCTTTGTTCTGAACTTCCTCCTTAACGGTAAAATACTTTAATTCCATGTGTTTTGCACCTTTGGAATATTTGTCGTCCATGGAGAAGAAAACTGTTGCGGAATTATCACAATACATTTTCAGCGGCTTGGTAATGGTGTCGACAACCCCAAGTCCTGAAATAAAGTTCCGCGACCATAATGTGTGAATTGTAGCCTCATAACAAACTACAAATTCCATAAATTGGTATGACCAACTGTTTGGCACATTTCCATGAAATTTCTCCTTCGGCAAGGAGAAACACATAGCCAAACGTTAACTTACGACTGTCAATGCATCCATAAAAATCTGAATCCGAATATCCAATCACCTCAAGGCGATCACACTTCCTAAATGTGAGCATATGATCCTTTGTCCCTTGAAGGATATCATCAATATGTAGAACCAAAATATAAACTTACTCCCACTAACCTTTGGTAAATACACCGATCAACAGTGTTTTCTTGAAAACCAAAAGACGTGACGGTATCATTAAACTTAATATACCATTGTCTGGAAGCTTGTTTAAGTCCATATATTGACTTCTTAAGTTTACACACCATGTGACCTTTTCCTCAATGGAAAACCCTTCTGGTTGATCCATATAAACTTCCTCATCTAAGTCCCTATTAAGAAAGGTTATTTTCACATCCATTTGATGTAACTCTAAATCATACTGAGCTACTAAAGCCATAATGATCCTTAAAGAATCCTTCTTAGAAACAGGTGAAAAGGTCTCCTTATAATCCATGCCATCTTTCTGAGTATAACCCTTGGCAACAAGTCTAGCTTTATGTCGTTCGATATTGCCACTCCAGTCGCGTTTGGTCTTAAAGACCCATTTACACCCAACTCGTTTTGAACTTTCTGACAATTCTACTAGATCCCACACATTGTTTTTAGCCATAGAGTTTAACTCTTCTTTCATAGCATCAATCCATTTATGAGACTTGTCACTATTAATGGCTTGTGAAAACGAAACAGGATCTTCATCAATGCTTGTATCAAAATCCAACTCTTGCAAATGAACCACATAATCATTCGGAATAGCAGATCTTCTCACCCTTGTAGGTTTGCTTAATGCTATTCCACGTGGTTCATTTGTGTTAGTTGGTGGCAAGTTAGTTTCTTCATGGGGTACTACTTCATCCAAATTTTGTCCACCATTATTTTGTTCATGAGGTTGTGGAAAAATATTTCGAACAACTGTGGATATTGGAACATTAATGGGTAATGGAACATCAACCCTTATTTCATTAATTTCCACAGTATCTTTAGCACTCCCACTAAGTTCACCATTTCCAATAAATCTAGCATTACCCGTTTCAACGATCCTAGAACTATGATTAGGACAGTAAAACATATACCCTTTGGAGTTCTCTGGGTAACCAGTAAAGTAACCACTCACAGTTCGAGAATCCAATTTCTTTTCATGTGGGTTGTATACTCGTGCTTCTGCTGGCAACCCCAAACATGCAGGTGTCTCAAACTAGGTTTCCTTCCAGTCCATAACTCAAAAGGAGTTTTAGGAACTGACTTACTAGGAACCCTATTTAGCATATACACAGCAGTCTTAAGCGCATACATCCACAAAGATTTGGGTAATAATGTATTACTTATCATACTCCTAACCATATCAATTAATGTTCTATTTTGCCTTTCCGCTACACCATTTTGTTGAGGTGTGCCTGGCATAGTATACTGTGCACATATGCCATGTCTTTCGAGGAACTTAGCAAATGGACCGGGATTTTGTCCCGATTCATCATACCTTCCATAGTATTCACCACCTCTATCAGACCTTATTATTTTCACCTTTCTGTCTAACTGTCTTTCAACTTCATTAATGAAAACCTCAAGTGCATTTGCAGCTTGAGATTTTTCCTTGAGCAGATAGACATAACCATAACGTGGAAAATCGTCTATAAAGGTAATGAAGTACTTTTCTCCATTGAAGGATGGAGCATCAAAAGGTCCACATATATCAGTGTGTATAATTTCAAGAAGCTGACTGCTTCTTGTGGCTCCTTTCTTGTTATGTTTGGTTTGCTTTCCCTTAATGCAATCCACACACAACCCAAGATCGGTAAAATCTAGATCCAAAAGAATCTCATCTTTCACCAACTTTTGCATTCTTTCTTTGGATACATGACCCAAACGTTTATGCCACAAGAAAACAGAGTTCTCATTTGCTACACCACGTTTAATTCCAATGTTTTGATGAACACACATTAAAGATGCAGAAAAATCAACATCAAGTTTCAGTTTATATAAACCATCAATAAGAATTCCAGAACCA